GGAGGGCTGGTGCTTCCCGGGAGGCTCCCGAAGCTCAACAGTATGGAAGAGTGGCTAGCTAATAAAGGTTGTGTTCCCATGCAGCAATTAGCTGAGAAAGAATTAAACAACAGTAGAGTGTAGTTGGTATGAGATGTTGCAATGTCAGAAAGACCTTAGTGATAACTGTGAACTGAGAACAGGACACTGTGATCAGAAGAATGTGGATTCAGCACAGATGAACGACCACAAGAATGTGGAACTAGGTGGAGTTGTCCTTAAACGAAATACCCAATAATGAGCTTGCTTTTGCACTATGTATGAGCCTAATTATTGATGTTATATAGGGAGTTTGGAGTTGCCAATAAAGGAGACTTGCTGATCATTCATATTGAGTGCTGCTTGTCTCCCGCCGAACTCATCAAATGGCGCCTGAACAAATGGGACCCTTGGGACCTTTGGGACCTTTGGGACATTAAAAAGCGAAGGCCACGGGAGTCGGCGACAGGGGACGGGTCCTCCGCAGCAAGGACGGCGAAAAGCAACGGTGCCGCGCCCCAGGCGACCTCAGAGGAGAGTCCTGGCCGTAACGTGCTGCCGAACCTTGTAGGGCTGCAACAGCGCTGACGGTAAGATGGAAAGGCAAGCAGCACATGATTTATTTACCTGCTTTTTAGAAAAGCCACAGGTTAAGGGTTTTGATTTGCGCAAGGAGCTTCCTGGACTTCTTGCTTATGGGTATGCTCACGCCTTTGCCTCCCACTGCTGGGCAAACACTCCTGTCTATGCTGCCCATGGAAAGAGGGAGGGAGAGTCAGAGAGAAGGAAATAATGAGAAAGAAATTCCAGAGCAAACACTGAAACAACGAACAGAATCTGTTCAGTTACGGCAGGATGTGATACATCCTGAACTATTTGCTTCACTTTTGGAGTCACTCTTAACACTACAATCTTATTTAAGTTCCAACTTTGCTACCCTGGAGGAAAAGAATCCAAATTTAGATTGGTTTCCACCCAAACCAGGGGGACATGGGGGAGCACTGAGGTGTGCGCAGAGAGCGGGGGCACCCCCGGGGCAGAAGCAGTGTAGAAAAAGTTCCAAGGCCACACTGAACAATTACAGAAACAGCTAAGCAGAAACAGGTGGCTCAGACAGCTTCAGAAAGAGACAAAATAGCCAGAAAGTCACAAACTATATGGTATCTAATTCAAACTTCATCACTGTAATTCAAAGCTGATAAGCTGCAATGGTCACCGTTGTTAGCACCTGGCCATGAGAGATTTTCGTGTAACATCGCTTGCTTTTGTAAAAATCGTGCCCCTTTTTTCCTCTATCAGTGAACAAGAGAGATTGAGAGAAGTAACTGTATGTGTTAAAGTTAACTTTGTGAGGTTTTTTGGTTTTTTTTTCCTGTGAGAGTATGTGGAGAATGTGAAGAAAGATAACAGCAGCAGAGAGCAGCAGCAGGGCGGGCAGTCCACCCCCCGCTCCCTCTCTATGAAAAAGCACCGGGATAGTACCCAGTTTGTTAAAAAGTCATGATTCATGGGTTTTTTAAATATTTTTATATACCCTTTTAGAGTTAATTTTGTGTTTTAAGTAATAATGAATTTATGCAGATGCAGTTTTTTAGAGTTTTCCTGGAGAAATTACTGTGATTCTTTGGAAGTTTAAAAAGGCCCATTTTCAAGAAAAAAGGTGTTTAAGGTGAATATTAACAGAAGTTACCTTGCAATAATTAGCCTTAAAACCTAAGGTTAAAATATGGTATAATTTACAGCTACTAAGAAAACCTTCCAATTGATGTTATCTACAAAAGATATTTATGGTTTAAAAAAATTAATTAGTTAAGAGAACTTTACTGTACAAGACAAAGTTAAGTTAAAGTATATGTTACTCATTTGCTTGTTTTTTCCACAATTTTAATAAGGTAATTTCAATGTGAGTCCTTTTGTTATATAAAATACATATAACTGCATATATACCAATTTGGATTTTAGATTTTAGTTTAAGAATTGGTCTTTATGTTTCTGAAAAGTGCTACAAAAGCTGAATGGCAACTTGGCCAAATCCTGTGTTGTTGTGGTTTTTCTCTAGAAAAACTGCACTTTAAAATCCTAACCAATTTAAACATATACTAGGCAAATTCCTGTTTTGAATGAGTATTTTTAGTACCATTTGCAGTTATTGTGAGTTATTCTCAAGGCTAAATGACATAGAATTGTGATGGATTTGTTACATTTTTATAATCTTTATAGTGAATCCATGTTACTGTTATATTGTGTTTAAAAGGTATATATCAAACCTTTAGTTGCCTCTTTGTAGTAACAGAATAAGATTAAGTTATGTTTTTATTTAATATAGATTAAGTGTTAATAGAATTAAGAAAAGTCAAGTTTTATTATATTTAGGCTTGAATGTTTTTAAGTTAAGTTTTATAACTTAGATATTCCTTTAAGGTTAAGTTTTGTTATTTCATTTTGTTATAATTAATTTTATTAATTTTAAATATTGTTTAATTTAAATTGTTTTATGTTTTATCGGAGACACTTGTCTAAACTGCAAAGTACAGTTATTTTCCTAGAGAGATGAAGATAGCTACAACTGACACAGCTGTGACAGAACGGTGATGAACACCTGCTTGTGGATAGAAGTGAATGCAGTCTGTGACACCCTGTAAGAGACGGCCCGAAGATTCCCTCATCTATCTCACAACTGTCTCAAGGACAGAGACTGAGACCCTGAATATCACAAGGGACTTGGTTTGGGGGTTTGGGCCTAGCTGAGATGGATGTTTGCTCAGTGATTGTTTGCAGGTGGTTGCACGGTACACTGCTCTCGTTCCTGCTGGTGAGCAGAGGCTTGGTAACCTGCACAATGGGTTTTCCATGATTCATGGCTCTCATTCCTGCTGGTGAGCAGAGGCTTGTGTGTGCTACCCTGTGCAATGGGTTTTCCACAACACCTTGTCCTTGTTCTGCTGGTGAGCAAAGACTTGCAAGACATGGATCGCTCTGTACCCTACACCTGCTCCCTGCGCAATGGAATTCA